CTGCAAACAAAAACAAAAAGACATGACAGCGTCAACATCAACACCGTATGACATACTTGGAGCGAAACAAACTGATAATGATTATCAATTACGTGTAGCATATTATGCACGAATTCATGAATACAAAAAAGATCGACTTCAAAACCCTAGTACTCGTAAATATACGCCTGAAAAATTTCGCCTTGTTTGTCGTGCTTATGAAACATTATCTGACCATGATAAACGTAGAAAATATGATCAAAATGGAGAATGGATAAATAATATATCTTTAGACAAATATACACTACAACAATTAGCTGCTGAACCTGAACTTGCAAGCGAATTAAAAACTCGTTTACAAAATGCTACACTAAGAGACATAAATGCACAAGATCCACAAACAGGACACACTGCACTTTATTGTGCAGCACGTGCTTGTAACGTAGAGGCTGTTTACTATTTAACAGAACAAGGAGCTGAGCCTGATCTCGCACAGAGAACTGGAAGTACAGCTCTGCACGTAAGTGCTTTTTACGGACATCCAGAAATAGTTCGATGTTTATTGGAAAGTGGAGCTGATTATCGAAAAAAAAATCGTGGTGATAAGACAGCTGAAGATGAATCTAGGGATGTTAATGTAATACGAATGTTTACCGATTTGAAAAACACTCCTTTTGCACAAGCAGCTGCAGATCAACTTGATTGGTTTAAACATAATATTAATAATATTACGCAACATATTGATGAACAATATTATGTACAACGACAAACATTACTTCATTGTGCTAGTAAGAAAGGTTACATAGATCTTGTTCGTTGGTTAGTCAATGAACGCAAAGCCAATTTAGATATTGTTGATATTAATTTAAATTCAGCTTTACATCTTGCTGCTTATGATGGACATAAATCTGTTGTTGAATTTCTTCTCAATCAAGGTTCTAATCCACTTTTACTAAATAAATGGTGTATGACAGCTGAACAAGAAGGCATGATTCATGGAAGTACTATTAGAGATCTCTTTCAAACGATGCGTAAACGAGATATGTTTGAAATGGCTGCAAAAGGTATTGATTGGTGGTTTGAATACTATTTTGGTGATAAATCACCAGATACAACTAATGGTAATGGTATAAATTTATTGTATGTTGCGTGCCGCAACGGTCAAACATCAGTTGCACAATGGCTTTTAGAAAAAGGAGCTAATGTTAATATAAAACTTTTAAAAGAATCGGAAAGTACACCATTACATGGAGCTGTGTATCATGGGCATGTTTCAACAGTCGAATTATTATTAAGCTACGGAGCTGATGTAAATATAAAAAATAAAGATGGTTTCACTGCTACTGATGTTGTACAAGTAGATGAAGTTAAAGATGGTTTGACTACTGTGAATGATGCACGAATAGATGAAGTAAAACAACTTTTAATACAATATAGAGTAAACGTAGATGAAAATAAATTTTTTTCCGTACATTTATATGATGATGGCACAGAATCTGGTAATGAACTATTAGCAAAATTACAATTACATTATGATGCTACATATAATGATTTGGTAAAAGCAATGCCTGATTCAATCCGAGATAAATATCCAAATTTTTCTATCGCTCGACGTCCATTAAATTTTGAAGACGGTCCTACAACAGTTCTATCAGCTGTATGTCGTGCTCGATATGGAAAATCAAAATTTGTCCAATTACCACTATGTATAACAGCACATGAAAGAGCACGCTATACACATAGTGGCCACGTTCTTGGTGAAGTACTTCCTAATTATCATATGCGTGAGGTTGATAGTAAATTTAGCGCAAAACGTCAAAAGTCATCAATGAAAATTCGTGGTAAAATGAATGAAAATCAACCATTTACATTTGGAAATCTATCGTTTACTTTTCCAAATCATTGTACTGATCAAGATGTTTCAATTAATATTGAGTATATCATATCACCAGATTTTGACTTATTCAAGTTATCAGAATGTATTTGTGTTTTTAAAACAAAATATCATGATGAAAACACTAAGCTAAATGATATGCCAATAGTATCATTTGTTGGTGAACCAAATGCTCGACTATATAATTGGGTTCAACCATCATCTTATTGGTATTCTTATAGAACACGACAAACACGTTTATTTACAATCGGTGAAACATATGCTTTTGTTCGTTATATTGATATAATTCCTTCTCTATTAAGTCTTCCACCAGATATGTTTATTAAGGCTACTATTGGAAAACTATTTGAAGATCGCAGTAAACCTGTTTCTTGTCGATGTTTAAAAGTTCGTGAACACAATAAAAAAGACTTTCCTCATATTGCATATCATGGAACAAATGTAAAAGCTATAGAATCAATTCTTATGGATGGACTTGTTATGCCAAGTACTGTAGTCTCATCTGGATTACGTATTTGTCCACCAAGCAATCATATTGCTCGACAACAAACAGCTTTTGGTATTCCTGATTTTTCAAATGGAATATTTGTAACACCAAGTATACACTATTGTTCAGATCCAGCATATGCAGTCACATTTACATATAATGATGAATGTCTTATACCTGTGTTAGAATGCAGTGTAAAAGATGGTTCATTCGAGAGTTTTAAATGTACTGTACCAGGTTATGTTGCTCATCCAGATGATGATATGAATACAATTGAATGGCGTCTGACAAATCCAGCAGACATTATGATTATATCTATACTTTTTATTCCTATGATAAAATCAAAAGCTGAAGCAGCGCGATTGAGAGCGAAAAAAATCGGTATTGATCCAAAGTGCTAAATGAGAAATGAACAACAAATTTGTTTTTTTAATTGACTACTTTTTTTCAACTCTCTATTTTTTATATAGCTTATCTGCTAATGAATTATAAGACGTTCGATAATCGAGATAAACTTTAAAAAAATCTCTTTCTTAATCCATACCAGACCTGTCAATAATATTGCAATAATCAATGCAATTTTGGCCTGCCAGGCTAAAATGGTATTGATTTTTGGGACATCATTGACGACTTTGATATACTGAATTCTCATGGAAAAGACTTTGAAGAATAATTATGAATAAATTGAACTTTGTTTTTAACATGAATGGACTCATAATAAAACAACTGTGGTTATTTTCAATAAATGCTGTTTTCATCAGATTTTTCTTGAATATTATCAATTGTATTTTCTTTGAACATCAAGAGAATAATTTGTTCTTTGCTCAAGAATGGTTCACATGGTGTTTCGTTCAATCGAGAGCTTTCAATTGATTCCACAATAGAAACATATGTTTTCAAATTTTTCTAATCGAATACTTTTAAATTTTAACTGACATAAAATGATTATAGAATGCTCAGGGAAAACAACAGAAGTGATCGCATTCACCAAAACATTGAAAGAGACCATATACATGAATAAGATGTTTCATAGTTTGGTGAAGGTAGTTGTAATAGTAACGTATTTTTTATCTCAATAGAAAGCATTCTATATCGTTTTCTTACCTACTGGAATACCTTGTTTATCCTTCTGTTCTTGAACGATAAAGAGAGAATTCCACCAAAAAAAAGAATCGTTTACTTTTTCACTCTATAAAAGAATACTAATTAACAGATTCTCTCAACCAAGAATCGTATTCTTGTCAATCGAGAATCATTCTCAGAAGTAGGGGAAAGGATTCTCTACCATTCTCAAAATAGTGAAACATCATCTGTTAAATTTAGAACAAGTTTTGAAAAAGAGAGCGCATTTTTCTCCTCTCATAAATTAATGAGGCTATTGTACATTACTGAGAAAGACGATTGAGAAACTCAGATGGTAAATCTCAGTTTTTCCGAATATATAGAATCTTTTGGGCAAGTGTTTCTGTAAAAAGATGCATCGAAATTTTAGTGCATCACTAAAAGTAAGCTATCAACATTGGAAACAAAATTCATCAAATGAAAACGATACATAATCAAGAAAAGTTCAATTTTGATGCTAATGTATTTTTTAACGCGATTTTTATGTATATTTTGATTGATTCATACATTTTTTTGTGGCACTGTTCATTAGTTGTACTTTTCCTTATCAACAATCAAAGTAATATCTAAATTCAATTAATCTATAACTCTTTCACTGTATCTCAGCAAAAAGGGTCAAGATAATTTACATTCGTATGCTATAACTCAAAAGCGAGTGCAGTTTATCGTAACCGTTTTCTATCAATCAGAGTGCTAGCTCATGCAATTCTTCTATACAATTTACACGCCTTCACCATCATACAGCACTTGACCATCGGCGATTAAACCAATGTGTGTATGATCAAAGCAACTAGTGAATATGGTATCTGTGTGTATTGTGTTTAAAAACTATCCATTTTTCACTACAGTTCATTCCTTCAGATCTACACCGAAACACTCACGTTGAGTATGTAGGATTATTTTAAAAGGATTTTCTGTTCTATGGAAATACGTTTCAGTTAGCATTCAACACTTTTGACATAGAAATTCGACTTCTTCTATCATCCAAATCAAATCAATGAAAAAAAATCAAATATCAAGTTCAGCTATTTGAAAAGTTGTCGGGTAGATTTTGGCAATAATTTTGAAAGATTTCCTAGAAATTAACGTCAAAATGTTCACTAAAACAATTCAGTTAGAGAAAACATTGCTTGAAAATGAGCTTTTACTGTTGCTCGGATTCTGGTACATACAAAAAACAAACAGGCCGTCATTAAAAAAAATAAAATCTCTAACTGAATTCGTTTAATTTAGACATTCTTATGTTAGTATCGAATGTATCTTTTGAAATGATTGGTAAACTCTAATAGAGTTTTTCGAATATTGAACAAGAAATCCAATTTTTTAAATTAATACACTGTACATAATCGAAAAAGTTAAATTTTGTATTCAGCTATTCGAAAAATTATCGATCAGAGTTTGGTAGAAATCTCAAAAGATACAATAGGCCTTATCGTAAGAAATGAAACAGAAAAATATGAGATGAGAAAACTTTTTATGTAATTTGAGACTTTATTTCTTGAACGATTTGTAATAGAAGTAAACAAAAAGCCTTGAATTGAAGAAAATAATTTTTCAGCTTGTTTCTTTCAGTATGGTTTCACATAGTAGGACCAAGTGCAATTTTTAAAGCTCTTTGCAAATTCAAAACACTGATTTTCAAAGCATTTGATCGTGAAATTCAACTTTTTTTTGATGCAATATATCAAATGACTAAAATATTACCTCCTTTGAGCTCATATTTTCGTTATTCGTAGATCTCGAGGTCATTTGTTTTCGTCATTTGATTGCAATTGTACTTTCTTATTGTACTACCCAGCATCTTGGAGATCATCCCGATTATGATTTGTTTTTACATGCTGCTACTTACTATACTAGTTCCCTATTCTTGTTATGTCTTTTTTTTTCTGATCGAAAATGGATACGATAAAAGTAGATGTTGTTGCTATATATACTGATGATTTAATAATGTTTGAAATACAAAAATATCTCCATTGTGCTGCTGGTTCATCAAATCTCAATAGCTTTTCTCTCCAAGTTGTTGCAATACACATACATTTTATATATAGAAGACAAAGTCAGATTGAAATCTTACACGTCCAAGTGCCAAGTGCAATTTTCAGCTCAATATTTCCTTTTCTCTTTAAGTTTTCTTCGAATTCCTTATACGAAACTATCAACTATGATCAATGCAATTGTATGAGCTTTAGACGTATAGCTTGTCCTTCTTACTTTCATTTACCTTCAACTGATTGTTATTCTACAATATACGTTGCCTTCGAATGATTAATAAGGACAATGACTTATTTCTTCTCGAAAATAAATATTGTTCTACTCAATGGATTCACCTATGTTGAATGTTAATATAGTTATTGTCAGTTTACGACTTAGTGCTCTAGTATTATGTCAAAAATAATGCGCATCAATAATCTGTGACATTCATCGATAGGTCACAAGGCACTTAGGCTAATCAAACAACAACAGTTTGATAGAAAATGAGTGATGACATTGCATTAATAGTACTATTTTATTTTATCATTTCTTGTTCCACTGCTTTTATTTTCATGATTCATTCATTTATTAATCAACATTAATCTTTGATGAAATAAATGATTTGTTTGACATTACGATAACAAAAAGTTTGTTGTCAATTTTTTATCTTGTCAAATATTTCATAAATTTTAATCCAGATATTTTTCAATAAAAAAAGGTATAAGAGAAAGAATCGTTATCGAAGAATGTCAATGACCATCTATAAATTCTCGAAACTTTCTATCAATTAGATATTAGTATTGATTTTACTAGATTGATAATTTTGATAGAATTCTATATAAGCAAAACTAAAAATTCTCTCTCAAATAGTAACTTAAATGACTTTGACTAAGTGTCGATTGATCATTTTAATTCATATAAACAGTGTATGTCTGTTTTCTAATTTGAATGTTTGTTCTTCAATTTATTATTTTGGAAAAAAAATTGACTAGAGTGTTTGACTAGTATATATTATTGAGAAATTTTCTATCTCAAATGAGATTAATAAACTACATTGTTAGAATAAAAATGGAATGCAGCTAATGTGTTCGAAAAATCAATTCTTGGTATGGAAAAACTAATCCTTTCATACAAATAAGTTTGGACATAAATGGCAATAAGAGATCTAACTATAATCGATATTCATTTATATTTAATCAAATAGAAAATAAAGATTATGAGAAGAGAAAAAAAAAACATTTTTTTCATAAAAATGTTGACAACATTCACTGAATTTTCAATGCTAATTTAGAAATGAAGACTTGCTTCAACTTATTTTTGCTTCTTAGAAAGTACTTTCAATACAGATGTATAATATGTTTGTTTCAAGAAAATCATAGTAGAGTATAATTGATTCAGTGATCGCTTCACTTCTGTTAGAAGCTTTTTCTAATTTCTTTAGAACAAGGTTCCTTCATTTTTCCACCAAATTAGTATTTTATGAGGGTTTTTGATTTCAAACAAAATTTTGGAGAAACAATTATGACCATTTTATGCCAACAATAGACATTTAGGCCATATACCAAAAGAAGCTGTTTATCAACACCATACGGGAGAATAGAACTTCCTTATACACAAAAAAAAACACACAATCCACTCATTCTTACCCAATGATACCTTTATTTGTTAATAGGAATGTGTCGAATAGGTCACCAACATACCTATATCAACATAGTCATCATAATTTCTATTTTCTTTAGAGGTGTTTTGCGAGTCTTCAGAATTATTTACTATAATATATATGTATAAGAGTGAGTTGCAACTTCTTGGTACAATTGATGCGAAAAACTGAAAGTCATTCTAAGCACTTCTTGAGCAATGCATTTTAGTGCACTCTATGCCTATGCTAAACAGCAAAAGTTTCCCAACACTTTACTACATATTAGCTGAGATACAACTTACTTCAGCGTAAATGTACCATAAAAAACGTTAATTTAATGAAAAGTGTCCTTTTACATTGCATCATATTTTGTAAAAATCTCCGTAACAGAAAGATATACAAAGCTGAATTTTTAACTGATCATACAACTCTACGAAATATAATTTCAGTAAAAATTTTGATCGAAAACCAACTAGCCTTTCACAAGTTATTCACAAAGTAATTTTCAAGAAGTCGTTCTACACATTTTTAAAAAAAGGTCGTTCTACATTTTACCGTATGATGTGAATTTCTCGAGAACAATAAGAGAGACAGATGGCTGAATTTTTTACTGCTTATATAACTCTGAGAACTATATCCACGGTAAAAGTTTGAGCGAAAGCAACCGAG